CGACTGGAATCGATAAGGGAATCGTTTGCAAAAATGGCAAACGATTCCAAGGAATTGAAACAGTGGGAACCGGTTCTCAACAAGAACCGGTTTTCGATACCCATCCCTAGTCAGAATAGAGTCGTCTCAGGCAAAGAAGTAGCCATAAGGTTTATATATAACATTGGCAGCCATAAGAACACTTAAAAATGACTTAAATTTATTTAGTTTGACTACCTCTGTGAAATTCTGTTGTGGATCTGATCTGAGGCAGAAGGAGCTGTGAATTTCAGCTGTACTGAATTGAGGCAAAGTCTAGTTTGTTGTACTAGTTAGATCACTGGATGCCATGCCTGGATATAGATAAGTGAATCTTTACGGTTCAGGAATGCTTGAGCACAGTAGTGTGAGCATAGATTTTCACTTTTTCCTCAATGACAAACTGATGCTCTGCAGGAGTGCTTTTCAACAGCAAGAGTCTACGAAAGAGGGTGAGCGAAACAAACTGAAGTTTACTCCGGTTTATATGAGCACAAGCCATAAGGGGAGTGGGGATGTATAACAGTCGTGCTCAGGCAAGGCAACTATGTCTAGTGTGAGTACACTCTGTCTAAATTTTGGTTTAGATCTAGATCGCTTAGACAACATGAGATGAGGCATTAGCTTTTGCACTCTCTGAGGGCCTTTCTAGCTGAGGATTTTTTGCTCTGGTGTTTTAGTATGATGTGATTTCATTTTCATTAAGTAATTTGATATGAATGCTTGGCATCTCCCCCTTTGCCACAGAATGGAGTAAGCATCATGGTGCAGGTTGCCCTGGGCCCAGATGCATCTGGAGAGAAGGTAAGCTTCCTGCATTGTTTCCTATCTTGAAGGGGAACTCCACCAAACTGTTTTTAGGGCTATTGTTAATTTGGAAAAAAAACAATTTTTTTCTTCACAGCTGGCTTTATCCATATCCAAGTCTGACTGTACTGATGTGAATGCAAAATCTCTTTCACATTATGAGAGAATTTCTTCAAATTTGGCATAAACACCCCCCTGCGCCATAAAGACTAGAAGGTCACTTAGAATTTTATTTTTTTTAGATTTCCCATCCATGGTGCCAGACTTGTCTTCTAAACTGGTCTTGAGCAAAAATTCTCCAGGGTTTCTAAAGGTCTGCCAAAGTTTTTTTTGGCCATTGGCTGATTTTTCACTCGTTTTCAGGGGAATGTTTATTAGGCCACTTAACACTGACCGATGAATAATTCAAGGCTAAAAAAAGATGAACCTCTGTTGTGTCTACACTTAACAGACAGCTTAGAAAAAAGGCTGTTGAAAATAAAGTTATTAGCTAAAAACCATATCTTAGCATGGTGTGCAGAGCGTCCTTAAAAAAAATTAAGGAAGCTGAACAAGTAGAGAAGAAAAGAAGAAGTAACAGACCAAAAATATCTCATCAGATACAGTAACTGTCTAGAAGCAATTCTTAAGAAACAGGAGAAAATGAGACGAAGCTGAGGTATGCCAAATTCACAAGTGCTGGACTGAAAATCAGTGGCAACAGGTCCCATTGGGTGTTAAATCCAAATGATCAAAATGTACAAAGGAGGTCAGGAGAGAGGGACAATAGTGAATGTCTGCAGCCATCTGTAAAAGGCAGCAGAGTTTCTGTCAGAGTTTGGGGCTGGAGCAGCTTCATATTTCAGCACGAGAATGATCCCAGCAAACACACTTCCAACACAGTAAAACCACACCTGGATAGAAAAAACACACAGTGGAACACTATTAGTCATCGATTGGTGTCCTCAGAGCCCAGACCTCAAAATTATTGAGGTAATGTGGGATCATCTTAACAGAGAACACAAGAAAAGGCAGCCAATACCCAAAGAAAAGCTTTTTGTCTTGTTCAAGAAGCCTAAGAGTCCTGGTTCAACCGTCATGGAATCACTTCAACCATATTTTTTCATTTTCCTAGCAAAATATAAAAACATGAGGGCTAACTAAAGACTTTTCACACTACTGTATACATAAAAATTCACTGCCTAATTAAGGCAACATTTTATGTCTAATGGACAAACGAATCTGATTGTAACTCTTCATTTAATACTCAGATTCACTTGTATAAATTTGGGTTCAGGAAGTGGGTTAAAAAAAAATAAATCACTCTTTACCAGAGTCACAAACGGAGCACTATAAGATGGGCTTGGTGGAACTCCCTTACACGTTTGTTATGGCTTCATTAACAACCCAGCTGACATGGACTGCTTGCTGTAGATGCCCTGAGGGGAACAATAGACTAACTGTGCACTGGGGTTGGGTGGGTTCTGTCTTAGACACAAGGTGTGGAGATCCCCGCTGAACCCCAGCCTCCCTCTGAGAAAGTAAGGCTTGACTTGTTACCCGTCCACTACTTTTTCCTTTTATTGTTTGGTTTTGTTTTTGTTGTAATGATAGCTGAGGTGGGTAGAGAGGTATGGTGGCGGTTGATGTTTTAGTCTGTGAAAGAACTAATTTTACGTTTTTATTGGGTAAATGTGTACATATGTTAAAATGTGTACATATATACATATGTTAAAATGATAAAAGGTTTATATACGTGTATCAATATGCATGTCTGTCATGCATGTCCAGAAGGTGGTTAAGAAGAAACTAATATGATTAAAAATACCTTTTTGGCACGAGAAAGATGTGGGGGGTTTTTTGTTTGTTTGCAGCAAGTAATGTTGTGAGCTAGTTATGTGCACACGCATGTTTTTGTTACAGGATATTAATAAAAAAGGTTCCAGCAATATTGCTTAAGAAAGATTAGAGTGGCAGTTTTACAGCTCGATAATTAATCAGGAATGCATTATTTTCATACTCCTTGAGACAAATTGTTTTGTATTCTTATTGATTTGTGTAAAAATTGCCTACACACATGGTGACTAACTTTTTTTTTTCTTTGGTTTTCATTTTTTATTTTACTAAATTCCTGAGTGGGTTTGCTTGTTCTCGATCGTATTGTGGAAAAAATAAAAAATAAAAGTGGGAGGTAAGATTTAAGAAGTTCAGTTCAGGTATTACAAAAACACAATACAGACAACAATAAATAATAGCAGTCCTTTTGTTTAGAGCTTCTTTCTTTATGTCTTCGCAGACTGGATGGATTCTGAAATATGGAAATGAAAGATTTAGCTGGAAATGCCTCTGTATCAGAATATATGCAAAGTAATCTACAGCAGTGTAGAAAAGTGTACCTGCTATAGGATTCAAGTAAAGCTAAGACACGGCTGTCAGATTAGGTGGAACACAAAGACACTGAACAAGATTTCTGCTGTTGGCCTTTTTGTCATTTTTAGCATCTGTAATGCTTCATTTTCTCAGCTTCCTGTGGTGATGCGTGTCCCGCGCCTCTTAGCTTGGGCTCAAAACCTGTGTATGATGCAGTTCTCCATCCTGGGTTACGGCGACATCATTGTCCCAGGTAAGGATACAGACGCTCTCACGGTTCACCTTTACACCACTGCTTATATGTGAGCATTTCTGTGTACAAACATTAGTTAGACATATGAAGCAATTCTTAACAATGTGTTAGATTTTGTTTTTAATACAAATAAAGTTGTTTTTTTTTTTTTAAATCTAGTCTATTTCTTTGATTCAAAAACACAAAGAACAAAATACGAAAACTAATTTAAATTGCAGCTTGATAGCAAAATGTTAGGGTGCTTACTCAATAAATGCAGAGTCCGTGGTTTGAGTTTAGCCAGACTCTTCTTTAGATTTCATATGTCTTTGGTTAGTCTATTTACACCATTAACTGTAAATAGGGGGGGAAATGAATGAGTCACTAACCCATACATACAGGATTTCATACTGGATGATGTATGTGTAATGATGAGTGGCTCTCACCCTGCATTGTTGTTGGACCCACAGGTCTTTTGGTTGCCTACTGCAGCAGGTTTGATGTTTGGATCAAGAGCAAGAGGAAAGTCTACTTTGTCAGTTGCTGCATAGGTATCACACATCTGTTATCATTTTGTTGGGTCTGTCATTAATTTTCATGGATTTAAAAAAAAAAACACACACACACACACAATCTCTTGTGTAAAGTCATTGAATTTTGGGAAAAGGGGGAAAATATTCAGATCGAGGTTTGATTTTTGCCAAACCCCAATCTGTTTGAGTGAATTGCTGGTTTAAACGTACACTATTTCTTTTCTTTTCTTATTTTTTTTTTCTTATATGATCAGTCATTTTTATTGACTGCCAGGACTGAACTCACGTTCTTCAGATTGAACTTCATGCAATGTCATGCAAACGCTTATGAGCTCTTTTTAGTTTTATTACTCATAAAATGTGGTCTGATCTTCATCTATGTCAACTTGACTTAACTGATAACACGAGAACATTTCTACATTTCATGTCTTTATTACACAAACTGAGAAATCATTCACAGTGCAGGTTGGAAAAGGCAAGTGAACTCTCGACTTACGTGACTTGTAGAACCTCTTTCAGTCACAA